AAAACAAAAGTGAATTCTTTGCAAAGATCAACTGGCTAAACCTCGAGCTAACATGATCAAGAAAAAGAAGATCCAAATTACCAATATCAGGAATGAAAAAGGGGACATCAGTACAGATCTTATATACAGTAGTGGAGTAAGAGAATATTCTGAACTTCTATATCAATAAATTCTACAATTTAGGTGAAACAGACAAATTCCTTGGAAGAAAAAAATTACCAAAGCTGACTTAAACACAGATGAATAACCCTGTATCTATTTTAAAGTAAAAACTTTCCAGAAAGAAAACTCTAGGTCCAGACTATTTAACTGGTGAATTCTACCAGATATTTAAGGAAGAAATAATACCAATCCTACACAAACTCTCAGCAAACAAGAGGAAACACTTCATTTATTCTACCAAGCTAGCATTGCTGATGCCAAAACCAGACAAAATAATCACAAGAAAAATACAAACCAACATTCCTCATTAATATGGACATAAAATTCTATATCAAAATATTAACAAATTTAATCCAGCAATAGAAAGAAAATGGATAATATATCACGGCCAACTGGGGCGTATGGCAGGAATATAAGGTTGGTTTACCATTCATAACTTAAATGTATTTTACCATATAAAATAAAGGAGAAAAAAATCATATGATCATATCAATTGGTACAGAAAAAAGTATTAGAAAGAACTGAACACAAATGATACAAACTCTCAGCAAATGAGAAAAAAAAGGTAACTCTTCAACCTGAAAAGGACATATTTAAAAAAAAAACCCAGAGATAACATCATATTCAGTTAGTAATAAGCGCTTCTCCCCCAGGATTAGGAACAAGGCAAAGACGTGCTCTCACCTATTCAACACCATACTGGAGGTCACAGCCAGTGCAGTAAGAAAAAGAAATTAAAGGCATACATACTGGTAAGAAAGAAGTAAAAACGTCTTTATTACAGATGCAATGATCCTTTTTTTTTTTTAAGATTTTATTTATTTGGCAGAGAGACAGCAACAAAAGGAAAACAAGCAGGGGGAGTGGGAGAGAAGAAGCAGGCCTCCCGCTAAGCAGGGAGCCTAATGTGGGGCTTGATCCCAGAACCCAAGCCAAAGGCAGACACCTAGTGACTAAGCCACCCAGGCACTCCCAGATGCAAGGATCACAGATATAAAAATCCCAAGAATATGTTAAGAAGCTACTAGAACTTAGGGGCACCTGGGTGGCTCAGTGGGTTAAAAGCCTCTGCTTTCAGCTCAAGTCATGGTCCCGGGGTCCTGGGATTGAGCCCCGATCGGGCTCTCTGTTCAGCGGGGAGCCTGCTTCCTCTTTCTCTGCCTGCCTCTCTGCCCGCTTGTGATCTCGCTCTGTCAAATAAATAAATAAAATCTTTAAAAAAAAAAAAAAAGAAACTACTAGCAAGATGACAGGACATGTAATCAATATATTAAACAATCAATTGTACTTTTATATAATTAGTAACAAGTAAAATGGAAATTTAAAAAATACCATTTACAACAGCTTAAAAAGAACAAGAAATACTTGGTGTTATATTTGCAAGACCTATACACTGGAAAGTACAAAAACACTGCTAAGAGACAGTAAGGAAACTCTAAGTAAGTAGAGACATTCACGTGCTAATGCATGGCAAGACTCACTGTGAAGATGCCATTTCCCACAGAACTGATCTATAAAGTCAACACCATCTCAGTCAAAATCCCAGCATTGGAGAAATGCAAATTAAAACCACATCGAAATACTATTCATATCCAAATACTGAGAAATATGTAGAACAACTGGAATTTCTCATACATTGCTGGTCAATGTATAGTACAACCCCTTCAGAAAGTTCTTAAAAAGCTAAACATAGATCTTCCTGTGACTCAGAAATTTCACTTGTAAGTGGAATTAAAGAGAAAATGAATGAACGAGTGAATATAGGAGTATAAAAAGGATGGTATGAAAATGCTAATAGCAGTTATATTCCTAATAGCAAAAAGCTGGAAAGAATTCAAATGCCCATAAATTGGAAAATGAGCAATTATGGCATACTCATAAAATAAAAAGAAGCCACTGATACAACACATATGAATTTTAAAACAACTTATATGAAAGAGGTCAGAGAAAAGAGTACATATATAAGATTCCATTCATATGAAATTCAAGAACTGACAAAAGTCATTTATGCTAACAAATCAGAAAGGAATTTTGGGTGGGTAGCCAGGGGTAAGGAATTGCCTGCAGAGGCAGAAGGGAATTTTGGAAATGTTGGAAATATCTTTACTAGGGTTGTGGTTACATAGGTGTACACACTTTTTCAAATTAAGACACAGTCCAAATTAGTACATTTTATTGTTTATTATCTTATACCTCAGTAAAAATCTACTTAAAAAGTAAAAACTAAAATTAAAAATATTGTTATTTAAGTCCCTGTTCCTCTCTGCCTAAAAGCTCCAAGTCACAGTGGGGCAGGCTGAGGGGACCCCCCCCACCCCCCGCCAAGTTAGCTAAGCAACAGGTTTTCACAGGGTCCTTCCAACTTCACCAAGACTCCCAGGAGTATCTCAGCAAGTCTCTAAGTGTTTGCTTTTTCTCAATTCGTTTCACTTACTAGTATTTTTTCTTACTTTGTGAGTTGATGTGGAGAGTTTTTCCCCTCTTAAATTCAGTTCTTTTCTTTTCCTCTACCACCAAAATACATGTCCATCTTTTCTCCGAAGAGTACATTTATTCCTAAGCACAAAAACAGTCTGAAAACAAAACTATGACAATGTTACCGAGTATTAACAGGAACTAACTTGCCAGGAGCCATGTGAAAAAGAGTTTTGAGTTTCAACTACTGATACAGATCTCCCATTCTGACCATCCAAACATCTAGAACTTACTAATGCTGAGCGTGCCCACTACTGGAGGCTGCTAGTGTGCCACTTTCCAAACCCTCCGCTTCACACCTGGTTAAAACTTCTATCAGTCAGGCAGGTCTCTACAGTTTCTTCCCAATACTAAGAGGAGTAGGACTCCAAAAAGCTGTTTTAAGACAAGTTTTTAGGGTTGGCAAGTTTTTAGGGTTGGCAGATCTCTGCCATGTTTCTCTTAATAACAAAGGGCAGGAACCACAGCAGCCTTCTGACGCACTAACACCACAAACAATGGGCATACACACGGCATTGGAAGTACAGGCTGAGCACACAGCTCAGTGTGATAACTGTGTCCGTGATGTACACGATTATACAAATATTACAAATTACAAATATAAATGCTAAAGTACTAAATAGTTACAGACACCAAAACACAAGTTACTTTTTAATTTGATGGGACAGTGAATATCAAAACAACAGCAACTGTGGTTCACTTTTAAGAACAATAAGAACATAGAAGATGGTGTCATAATCTCAGTAATCATAACATCCATGTAATTCCGTAAAAAAAGCAAAAGCAAAAGGAGAAACTCTTATTCAGAAGCTGGACTTGACACAAACCCATGTAAGATGTTAACAAGCCCAGCAAACTCAAAAAAGGTTTCTGAGTGGCCGGGAAGGACCACGGAGCCCACACCTGGGCAGGGAGCAGAGCAACAGTATCTCTACCAGCCACTGAAAATGCCCTAGAAACGCAGAGGGGAGTAAACACGTTTACTACAAACACACAGTCTAAGACCACTTAGTACACACAGAACCAATCTCAACCACCACAATAATTTCTGAAAATACTCTGCATTACTCAGCAGTAATAGTAAATGATGTTCGGAATGGTGACCCTGAGTTACCAAGAAATACTAAAGTGCTCAATATCCCTTGCTAAAAACAGCACAATGCACCATGTTTTATGAAGGTGGCCAAAGAATGGTTACAATTTTCATCACTTCCTAGCTTAAAGTCCTGAGCTACGGTTATCTCTCGACATCAGGCGTGTGCAACGCCCGACCTCTACCAGCTGTGCTCTGATATTAACTCCCTCCCGGTGCCTTCCTAGTGTAAATGGTACCAGATTGGGTTTATGGACATGTCTGGATATGTCTGTAGAACCTAACTACACAGACCAAATGAGTTTTTAAGTTTTCAAGCACATTTTGAAAATGGGATTTCTCCTGTTATTATAAAACATCTTCCACAGAAAATAATCCATCCTACCTGCAGGGAGACAATCGTCAGGTCTTATTTGTGGGTTCATTATCGCCTACTGAAATTCTGTATTCTCTTGCACTTTCTAATTAGCTAGTGATTCATTATTCTCAGTTGCTCATTCCCGTTTCATCCCCCAAATAAAATAACACCCTCCATTTCCTCCACAACCTACCCCACCTACCCTTCCCCACCTACCCCACAGCAGTACCGGCTGCCCACAGCATAGCACCCTCTGCCCAACATAAACACCGGTGGTCCATGCCAGGCTACACTCTGCTAACACTCAAAGCTGAACGGCGGCAAGAAAAAACCCAAGTCCTCCATCTTGCTGCCTGGTCCGACCTAGGAGGGACAGGTTACTGCCCCGGAGCACCCGGAGCTTGGAGACTTACCAGTCCTAATGAGGGCAGCTGTTAATCTGCTTACCTCCCTGTGCCAGACCCTGGGCTGCAATGCTTCACACCCATTATCTATTTAATCACCATAAGCGTCCCGTGAGATAGGTTCTATTTGGTCCCCACTTTCTAGCTGGGTGGGCTGTGCAAAGAGGCAAATGAACCATGACCACACTGCCATGAAATGGCAGAGCAGGATCAGAACCCAGTTATGATTTCAAAGCCCACACTCTTCACCGTACTAACAGCTTCTGTGGCCCTTCACTCCAGTAATTAAAGCTATACTTCATTTCCAAGTATACACCGAATGCCACAGATTCCCTGTATTCAGCTTTCTTGACTGCAAAGCACTTATCTTGTCTTCGTGTGGAATAGTTGTAACTGTCATCACTTTCAAAAGTGAGAGGATAAATCAAGCCAAAGGTTCTAGATTGGGCAGCCTTTCAGCTTTGCTGTCTGAAAATCACTTTAACACTTAAGTATGTAAGAATATTACCTGGGGTTACAGTTAGCTGAAAGCAATGTAGCTTGTTTGGATCAGGAAAATGCACCTTACATGTACCTGCAAAAGAAACAGCACATCAGGAAGGTCTGAGAGCTGGCAGCAGTCCTTATGTGGAGGCTGACCTTGAAACACACACATGGAGTTGAAGGAGTTTGTAGACGCCGCCCTGCTCTTGGTTTGACAAATATTCGTGCCATTGTGCTAAAATTGCAAACCAGTGATTTTGCCATATAGTCTTTTACTTGCCAATTCCAAATTGAGATGGTTTCTTTCAACTTTTAAACAGTCACTAAAAATTGAGGTCTTTCCATTAACTTCAAGAATTATGCTAGTTTACTTTGAAAAGAGAAAAACACATCTCAAGGAGATGAACACATGTGGGTAAGGCAAACTAAACATGGCAAAACCAGAAGAACCCAGGCCAAACTTCTGGGCTGTTCACCCACCACCATCCTTATTCATACCCACCATAGTAAACTGAAGTTCAAAAGAAGGGTGCCCATGAAGTTAACTCACACCTAGAGTTTACCATGGCATTAAAAAGGAGGGGAAAAATGTCTTCACAGACCAACTGGTAGCTAAGTTTGCTTTGCTGGTGAAATAATGCTCTGCTCAGAGGGCAACACCCTACGTCCAATGCACCACATCCGAAGGGGTCTGGGGAATCAGGACAAGGCGTTCTCACTGGGAAAAGAGCTAAGGGCTAGTGGCACAGACAGAGCAACTGGCTAAATCTGCTTCCTTCAAACAAATGATACCGAAGAATGGTAAATACACAAGGAATAAATAGCCACTAAATTGGGGATGAATATATGTAGAAATTGTCTATTATTTTATAAACTCAGGAAATATGCTAAACTCCTTGGGTCACTTTCTGACTTTATTCTTTACAAGTCCCACCACTGAAAATATTTGTCTAGTTTTACAATGGTATGAAATTTCATCAAAATAGGACGATTCAAATTAGACTTAGATACGGCCCTTAGAGATCATCTAGTTCAATGTCCTTAAGCATGAAGTAACACAAAGATCCAGAGAGGTTCAGCGACCAGCCCAGGATCACACAGGTTATCAACAGAAGGTTTGTTCCCAAATTAAAGACGAGTTCATGGCTCTTCTCCCTATACCACACCTCATTTCATTACTTCATGAACATGCCAGGCATGAGGCATAAAAACCACACAGAACAACTGTTAATAGGGCTTTTCTTTTTTCTTTTTTTTTGCCAATCCCTCAGAAAATCATTGTAGAATAAAAGGTAACTTAATCTAGAAGAGTGAGAAGGGGTCTTAGAGATTACATTGTCACATTTTTTATTTTAATAAATAATGAAGCCGGAAGCCATGAAGTTCAAGACTTTTGCCCGAACCACATATGTGAACAGTATATGGGCTTCATTTCTCTTAATCTTTTTTTTTTTTAAAGATTTTTATTTATTTATTCAACAGACAGAGATCATGAGTACGCAGAGCGGCAGGTGGGGAGGGGCGGGAAGCAGGCTCCCTGCTGTGCAGAGAGCCCAATGTGGGGCTTGATCCCAGGTCCCTGAGATCATGACCTGAGCCACAGGCAGAGGCTTAACCCAATTAGCCACCCAGGCACCCCCATTTCTCTTAATCTTGACTTGAAATGAGAAATGCTGTCTTTCCAGTGAGATCCATGCAACAGAAATGCAGGACAAGGGCTTAGGGAATGTCTCACTGATTGGCGGAAGCAGCATTCCTTTGTTTTCATACCCGGCATTCTCCTTCATTTCAGGAGAAGGATAAACATAGAAATCTATCCTTCTAGAACAGATTGGCCCCCCAATAATAAAGAAGTTACCAAGGGAGATTAACAATCAATACAAGTACTGAAAAGAATCAAACATTTTAAAGCTCAAAAAGGTCTTAACAACAACAACAAAAAATTTAGAGACTGGTTTTGTTTTAGTTCAAAGCTTTTCCTCTGTCTGCAGTCATGGGCTAACATCTTATAATTCCATCTATCTGAAAGAGGTATTTTTTGCCAACAGAGAAACGTCTCTGAATTTGCATATACACAGCTCCAAACAAGTTCTGAATGACTGTTAAGTAGCACTGCTACATAGCAAGGTTATTTTGTTTTCTTGTTAATGTTTTAGAGATATTATTAATACTAGGTAAGATACTAGAGAGTTCTTCTTTGGTGGCTTCTTGTTTCCTCTTTAGAATAATGAGTTGCATACTTTTGGAAAGCATGGCTTCCTTGTATAAACTAATTTAGACTTCTCCCACTCTGATAGCACAGAGGGCAGGGAGAAAGTGAGAAGAAACAGATAGCATGTGGTCTCTTTAATCAGATACTTTAGCCAGAAATGCTAGGGAGATGTCTTTCGAACCTAAGGTGTTTAGTTAAAATCCTGGTTTGAAAACCAATTACACAGTTTGTTTTTGCAATTTTTTTTTTTAAAGTAGGCTCCCTGCCTAACATGGGGCTTGCACTCATGATCTTGTGCTCAAGAGTGTATGCTCCCCCGACTGACCCAGTGAGGTGTCCCCCCAAAGTTTAACTGTTTTTAAACCAAAATTTCAGAGAAGGTTAAAAATATTCTCTATGGGTTAAAAACCAACAATTTCAGTAAGACTCCTATTTGAGGACAAAATGAACTGTGTGTAAGTAGTAAGTTTTTGTGGTCTTGATTAAATATATGCATGTGTGTATATATATATATATGTACATATAAACCCTTTATGAGAACCCCAAAACACTTCCTTCCAGTTCTGACTAGAAGAAAACTTTGAGATCAAGCAATTCAGGGATTTTTAAGACATTAAGACATTTAAGACATTTTGACTGAGACCCACATTAAGAAACCTATTTAATATCACAACCCACCATTCCCATAGATAAATAGCACACATTAAAAATAATTTTCCAAAAAATATGTGTACTTACCCTTAACAAATGATTTTACAACCGCTTAAGGTCACACCCACTACCACCCGTCTAACTGTAGTTGGTGGCAGGAATGGGCCCTCTCTTCTCTGGGTCAGGTGGGCCGGAGAGACCAAGCTCTCTAGAGCATTCACCCAGACCAGGAGACCCACGTATAAAACATCTCACTCACAGTGATAAACATCCTCAGCCTCAGAACTATTTTTAACCAAACATGATGATAAAAAGTCCTAATTTTAAAAAAATACTAAAATGGCCAAAACTTTCAGGCTTTAATGGTATTACTAAAATTTGGCAAGGGATTAATAATAGGAAAAGAAAAGCAACCCTCTGACACCTCACACAAGCTAACTGCCCAGTAAGCGAACTTGCTCACGAGTGAGAACTGCACAGTGGGTCTGTGCGTCCAAGGGGGGAGGACCAAAGTGAGGACACCTGGTGACATACAGGTGTAGTCACCCCAGCTCATGCACGGAGATGCATTATAGGCAAGCACTTTCTGGACCAAAAAGGTGGCACTGACACTCATGAAAACAGGACCATCTGTCACTGATTTATAGATCTTTTCGCTCAAAGACGACACAGGACAGAACACTATGGAAGAAATACAAAACCCAACCCCGTCCCCTCTCCTGGTAAATATCTCGCTCTCACCTGAACCTCAACAAAATTCTGCTACCTGTCTGCACAAAATTAAAACTTACTCCCAACACACGTGAAAACCAGGCTTTGGGCTATGCAAGGTTATTAAAACATGAAAAAAAAAAAAAAAGCTCCTCCATGCAATGACTTTGCAGCACTTACTGTCTGGGTGGGATGCTATACTTACACGGTAAATTAGCTTCAAGCTCCGCAACCTCTGTGGAAACAAAAAGACTATTGTTAATATCAGTCACGCCTCCACATAAAAGCACCAGCTCTAAACTGGCAACTTCTTCCCCAATGCTGAGGAACAAAAGGGACCAAAGTAACTAACACCTACCCTGGGTCTGATGTTTAGACTTCAAGCCACTGAATTGTTTCAAAGACACAAAGGTACTTGTAGGATGCCAGGAAGTACAGTCACAGGCCCTTGAAATGTACTTAGTATAAACGAAAATCATTCAAATTCACAAAGAAATCACCCACAGATAAACCGGTCACTAAAGTGTTTTTGAAAGTCTTCTTCCCCCGCGTAGCAGAACTGCTGCCCTTGGAATGTGACTTACATATACACCTCGTGTCTCTTACAGTTCTTCCAGACCTGTCTTCCCCTGCGGCTCACCCAGTGAGAGCTTGAACTTCTCCAGTGAGAGAAAACTCTGCCTCCTGCTGGGGCCCCAGGCTGTGCTGTTATCCAGCTATCTGTTAACATCTTGCTTATGGCCCCAGGAAGGGGGGCTTGGAGCCTTGGCCCTTTGAGTCATCACTCATTCAGTGTTTAAGCCCCGCACCCCTTGGCCAGGACAAAGCTGCAACCCCGACTATGACTATTAAGAGCTGAGGTCTGGGGGCACCCAGAAATAAGTGGGCAGGCAAGTCAGTGGTGTCTCAGACATAACAGAATGTGCTCTGGGGTTCTGGGAGCACAAAGACTGCCCCCAGCTGTGGAGACTAGAAAAAGGAGGTCTATGGGCCAGGCTTTAAAGAATAAATAGTATGAAGGCCAGCAGAAGAGGAAGAATGCATTCCCCGAAGCTAAATTAGTGATGTGCAAAAGCACAGAACATAGACAAGCACAGAAACCAGAAGGCACACAATGCAGCCAGAGCAATGGGTACAAAGCAAGAGAGCAACCGGAAACAAGGAGGAAAAACAGGGCCAGGATCTCGGAGGGCCCTCAGTGCCCAGCTTAGGATTCTCAACTTAAATCTGCAGCAGTAGGGAGCAGAGGGACACTTCTGAACAAGCTTCCAAACTTTCAAGAGGACAACTTTAGAAAGGGCAAAGCAGAGACCAGTGACCTGTGAGATGGGGACTCTGCAAGACAGCAAAGGCCTAGCAAAGGCAGGGAGGGTTGTGGTGCCTGAGCGCATGGAGGACAAAAGGATCTGCCAGCTGTGAGGGGCAGGAGGGTCAGAGATGGCAGAGGGCTGACATGCTGGGAAGTCCTGGGAGGAGGAAGCTGAAATCTGGGTGCATGGCTAGGGCCGAGGTGTCCCCGTGGACATGAGACTGACAGAGGGGAGACTAGTGAAAAGAATGAAGTGTGGCAGAGTAGAAGACAAAAGCAAGGGCGTCCCTCATGACAAAAGGTGGAAAAATAGGAGATACGTGGGGGAACACAGTGACTCAGGGGACAGACTGATCCAAGGGAAATGAGGACCCAGTCAAGGCCATCCCATGTGGATCAGACACTGCTGAGGGCACTACAAACAGCAGGAAGGCAGGTGACAGGATGGAAACCAGATTACAAAAAACTAAGAAGCAAATGGGTGGTCAAAATATACAAGCAGTATATATACAAAATATACAAAATATACAAGCACGTCAAGTACAGAGTGGTGGGCAGGAGAGGGCAAGCTGTGCCATCATGTGGTACAGCTGAACATTTAACGCATTAGTGGGAAGACTGGCAGATAGCTCTACTGCGGGGCCAAGGGTTTGAGAGATCCCAGACCTTTAATAGCAGCCATTTGAGAATCTGGGTATAGACAGGGGGCCGACTAACTGTGTTGGCTCTGGGTTCCAGGTATTTAGAATGGGTGCTCAGAAAGGTGCAGTGGGGCAGAGGAGGGAGGAGCTGGGGAATGCAACAGTGCCGTGTGGGCTACAGGGCTCTACCCGATGCTCCTGCCTGGAAGAGACAAAGAGCAGGTCTCTTCAGTGGAGCAGGGCACCGGGAGAGGAGTGACAGTTATCCTCTTGCTGCGTGACTGGCAAAGGAACAAGTTTGTGATGATGTGCAAGCCTGGGAAGCCTGTTTTCTTGGCTGCTTTGTGTTGTGGTACATTTAAAATACAGTCACTTAACAAAACCAAACATAAGTAAGAATCCTATGAACTGATTATTCTTCTTCTAATGACCACAGTGATCTTTAGTTTTGTCTTTCTGACTGGCACGTGCGTTCTTACCCTTCCTTGGAGCAGGACAGGGCACTCACTAAAGACAACCAGGTGCGGCCGAGGGGGGCCGAGACCACAGTGCTAGCGCTCTGATGCGGCCCAGAGCCACGCTCTGCTCCAGCCGCTCACACAAGCATTAGTTTTATCAAAAAAGCCCTCATTTTATCAAATGACTCATTCATTAATCACTTTAAAATAAATGTTCCCTATATAAACTGTATGTTTTTCAACTATATGCATTTGTGTCTTTTATTATAGCATTATTTAGCTTGCTGGTAAGAACTTAGAAAAAACTGTCCTTGGGGGCCCTTGTTTTGAGAGACTGACGTTAGAACTGGCTTTCCCTGGCAAGTCTGTCCCGTCTACAATTGGGAGAACTCTGGGAGTCCAGCTTTAAAGAACACCCAGTGAAATGAAAACATGCTCAGAGGATTTGAGGAGGAGGGGGCCACAAAACAGAAGCAGAATGTTTGAGAAGACCATCTGCTGCCAAAAGATGGGGAAGAGGGAGGTCAGGACACAAGAGGACAGCAAAGCACTGACCAAGCATGTGGTGGTGACCATGCAACCGAACAGACCCCTGCACCAAAGGGATGGGACAGGGGGCAAGAGGCTTATGTCCCCAGGAAGCCTGACTGTTGTGCAGGGAATCTCTGCCCTAGCTGCACATCACTCACATTCGGAGTTTTTTGCTGCACCCCCTCTTTAAAAAATAGCTGTGGTGGGGCACCTGGGTGGCTCAGTGGGTTAAAGCCTCTGCCTTCGGCTCAGGTCATGATCCCAGGGTCCTGGGATCGAGCCCCGCATTGGGCTCTCTGCTCAGCGGGGAGCCTGCTTCCCCCTCTCTCTCTGCCTGCCTCTCTGCCTACTTGTGATCTCTGTCTAATAAATAAAAAAAATTAAAAAAAAATAGATGTGGTAAGGTACAATTTTCTATAAAATAGACCCACTTTTAGTGTACGATTCAGTAATTTTTAGTAAAACCTGCAGTTGTGCATTCATCCCCTTAATTCAGTACCTGCTAAGCTTTTCACACTGCTCGTCCTACACAGATCCATCCCACCAGAAGTCTGATGGGGAACCTAGGCCTCTGAAGTTCTTTCTCTCCCCGGGTTTCAGAAACTGCTACAAGATATTTGGCCGTGTTAAAATATCCCCACACAGCTATTTACGTAGATGGATTTAATAACTTCACTTTGTCGTCTAGAATTCAAGTCCAAAGATGAGCTTATGCTTGCATTTCCAGGTACAGTGTTAGTCAAGGGGAGTGGACAAGGGCTAGCAGAGCCCCACCACAGTCAGGGCCTCCACAGGCTTCGGGTCCAAGAGCAGGCAAGACATACAATCTTGGGAGCACAAGACTTCCAGTAAAGATACTCAGCACTTCAGTTCAGTCCAGTGCAGAAGATCAAAGAGCCACATACCCTCATGGCATTGTCACAAATGACACACAGGTTCACTACACTTCAAATGATGGCAAATAAGAATTCATTAATATCAGTAGCTATCGCCTTAGAATCTAGGTACAAGAAGTCTATATGGCCAAAGAAACAACGAATTGCTTCACATGCCTGAGAGGCCTCTTTGCAAAGCAGCAGCCCTTCCCTGTGTGACCTCACTGACTGCAGGACACAACTCCTCCCTGTAAAATAGCAAGAAGTTCGGGTATTTTTAACCTGCTAAAGTCTCGCCTGTTCCAAGATGCTAACACCTCTACCCCTCAGCAGCCCAGCCTTTCTGGGGGGCACCTTGCACAATTCTGAGGCTGCACAACTTCCTTCTGAGAAATTAGACTCTTTTCCTTTCTAACTAAAGAGCAAACCACAGAGCCCACTTGAAGCAGACTGCCCTTAGATATCAGATTACAAAATCCACCCAATGACCACAGTGGCCCCCACATGGCACATCTTCTCCGTTTTCTGCCACAGGCTCCTCACAACACAGTGCTCTTGTTTCTCCACTGGCTGCTCCTCAAATCGCGTTCTTCATGGCAAGGGCTGTATAGTCTGACCCAGCCCCACAACCCCGGTACTTGACCCTGGGCTTGCCACACACAGGGTGCTCAGGAAACACTTAACAAATAAGTACTCTCAACAGCAAGCTGCCCAAGCTTCTGGTGTGCCTGTCCTGAGATGTGAGAAGCCTTTCCCCTTGTGTAGCTGGCCCAATGCATTCCAAAGCTGCTGTGGAAGTGTGTTCCCTCAAAGTTCCTATGTTGAAGCCCTGCCCCTGCCCCGCCCCCATGTGATGGTATTAGGAGGTGGGGCCTTTGGGAGGTGGTCAGCAATTAGAAGAAGTCATGAGGATGGGCTTTCACGACGGGATAAATACCCTTGTAAGAGATCCCCGGTGCTTGCCGGCCAGGAAGCGGTCCTCACCAGGAACTAAATCTGCTTATGCCCTGATCTTGGAGTCCCCAGTCTTTAGGACCATGAAAATAAACCTGTGTTGCTGGAGCCGCCCAATCTATAGTATTTGCCTATGGGAATATGAGCTAAGACAAAGGGCCAATCAGAGACACAGATGGCTCTTGGCAAGAGCCAGCTCCAAGCCCCGTGGGGCAGGACAGCTGTGCCATTCCACCCAGGGAGAGATGCAGCTACTTTCCAGAAGACTCGATTACCTCCTTCCACCTGAACACTCTCTCTCAGATTTCTTTGACTGGAACTTTCTCTCTTAGCTTCCCGCCTGTCTTCATACATTAAGCACCCCTTCTGCAGTTTCAGCATCCATACACAGTACCCTTATCTGGGAGACACATGAACTAGGGCAATAGCCCCTCCACAGAGCCGAGGACTGAGGACCTCATGGAGCCTCACATCAGCCCTCCTACTCAGGCTAGGCCCAGAGCACTCACAGCGCCCTCCACACTCTGAGGGAGCAAGGCTGTAACCCTGAAAACCAGCACAGCTGCTACAGCAGAGACAGGGTACCAATGTGAATGGAACTCAAGGCCTCATGCCACCCCTACTTTCAACACGAGCTGACGAGGTCAACTTGAAACCTCGTCTGTCTTCCGCAATCCTCCTTGCCCTGCTGGGCTACAAGATACACCTAAGTGGGGCCACCAAGCTTCCTGGGCAATCTGACTGGTAGTTAACCCTTCAACAAAGCCTTTTTTAAAGGTTAACCTTGGAGCCAGCTGCCTTAGCTCCATTTTACCAGGATTTTTCTTCTCTGGGCCACTGCTCCAGCTATTATTTTTTATTTTTATTTTTACTATCTTTTAAGATTTTATGTTTCAGTAAGCTCTACACCCAACATGGGGCTCAAACTCACAACCCCGAGATCAAGAGTCATGAGTTCTACCAACTGAGCCAGCCAGGCACCCTTCAGGTTTTTTTTTTTTTTTTTTTTTTTTTTTTTTAAGATTTTATTTATTTGACAGAAAGAGAGATCACAAGTAGGCAGGCAGGCAGAGAGAGGGAAGCAGGCTCCCCACTGAGCAGAGAGCCCAATGTGGGTCTCAATCCCAGGACCCCGAGATCATGACCTGAGCCGAAGGCAGAGGCTTTAGCTTTAACCCACTGAGCCACCTAGGTGCCCCACTCTTCAGGTTTTTAAAATACATACTATAGTGCTGCTAAGTGCTCTGAATAGTCTGCCAGCATGGCAAGCCCCTGAGCCCACCCTCTGAGTCCTGGGCAGGGCCTGGCACAGAGAAAGCAGCTCTGGAGAACAATAAATGATTCTCTTTCCCCCACTCTTCCAGGAACTCCATCGGAATAGGGCCCTTCCTATCCCATCCCATGACTGCTCATGTGGACACAGCAGCTGACCCAAGGAGGCACCTGCACCCTGGACACTGGGAAGCACATGTAGGTGGGCAGCCAAGCCTGGAGCATGGAGGGCCACATACCACACCCCCAGATGCCAGGAACCACCTGAGATGTGAGGACTGGGATGGATAAAGGCACACACAGATTCATTCCCTCTTACTCCCCTAATTCCAGAACTGACCCTGAACTCAACTCAATCCAAGTCTCCACATTTAACAAAGACAATAGAGGTGAAAGGTTCCTGCCAGGGTGCCTGGAGCCCTCTGGGGTCTTTAGGGATCACTAACAATAGGCTGGCACACAGCAGGGATTCAAATGCCTGCTGAACGAAGAAATCAAAGAAGAAGACACACATAATCCCATTATACAAAAAGTGCCAAGCTTGGGCTAGCTAAGACCCTGCTAGGCTTTTCTGGCAGGTAGGGTGCACTGTCAGACATAGAACTTTTATGGACTCAGTGGCCCCACAAAGGTCCACCAGGAACTCAGCATGATCTGCCCTGTGACTAAAAACACTGGTGATAGCTCCCCAGTTAGGACCAGACCTGCACAGATCTGACACTCTCCAGTGTCCCCAGCTCCTAGGATTCAGGGCAGACAGCAGCCCTCAGTCCTAGCCCAGAAACACTAGATTATTCCACACCCTCCAGGGACTGCTGCTACAAGCATCCTTCCAGTTCCAGTCTGGAGGATGTCCCTGAATTACCAAAGGGGTGCAAGAGAAAAGCTGTTGTGACCAAGGTCCCGGCAGAGCAGAGGCCTCCCCCGGCCAGCTGCTCCAAGGTAGGCTACGGTTTTTCCATGGACAGTGGATTCCAGCCTTCCAAAGGCAAGAAAAGGAACAGGAGCTACAGCTCTGCAGCCACTACCAGCCCTTACCGTTAGCACCAACTGTTCCTGCCAACCTCCAATCTCCCCCATCTATCAGCTCAACGCTATTGCCATCTGCACCAAGCCAGATCCTGTACCTTTGGGCCATGGGATACACACATACCCTCCCTGCCTCCTCAGACCTCCACAGGGCTCTTAGCAGATGGCCTTCAGCTCTCAGTCCTTCCAGGACTGTGTAGATTGCACAGACCCCCTCACCCCAGGCGCCTCACTCCTCTCAGGGCAGCCCCTCTGGCAACTGATCCATGCAGAGCAGGAAAACCTGACCATCTCACTTGACTGGGGACTGCTCTGAAGGCTATGCTTGCCCAAAGCAGAAGCTGTCTGGGGCCTTCCCCAGAGCTTGATTTCTTGCTCTGCCTGTTCCTGAGTCCTTCACCTCCCTCCATGGGTATCAGTCCCAGGGATACTCATTTTTAACTATCCTGATACCAAATTCCCCAATCCTAGGAATCCAGCCTATGGCGCTGAATCCCAAGACGTATTAACACACTTTTCTACAAACTAATGATCGTCCTAAGTAACACTCCCACATAAGCCAAAGCCACAGACCAGGAGAACAGTGCTGACTATAGCAATCTTGTTGAATTCAGACATCCAACTTCTCTCCAAGTTCCCAAAGGGGACATTCCCTAGAAAGAACTTCACCATAATCACCCCTCAAGTGCCCCACAAGGCCATGGACTCCTGGACTCCACACACCACTTCTGTCATCCGAAATCCCCAGAATGAAGACATCCCCCAAATCCAACCAAGCAAAGGAGTGCTCTAGGTGCAGATCAGGCAATCATGGACCATCAGAGCATCCTTCATTATACATCTGCTCTTCACAGCCCCCTCTCTCAGGCCAGGCCCACCCTTGCTCTCTACCCACACTCCCCAAATGCCCAACTGCTCACCACTCAGCCAGCCCAGCCTGGTCCAACAGTCCCCTGAGGAAAGAGGGAGCAGGCCACATGAGGTGTGTGTTACACTGAGCCCTGCTGCCTACAACTACCCCAGAAACCTGATCATCACCAGTGCCCTGGGAGGATGGAAACAGGTGGCCCCACAAGGTGGTTTTGCACCTCTCTCTCTCTGATGAGTCTCACAAAGTCAAAGGACCTTAGCAAGGCCCTGTAAACCCAGCCAAAGACATCTGTCCTGGGAGCGGGGGCGAAGTCTAGCCTTATGAGCCTCCATGGGCTCCCCAGGGCTGCATCAGGCCCTAGAGCCCTTTGAGAGCTGACAGGTGAATCCCTGAGCAGGGTGGACATGTGCAGAAGCCCCTGAACCTCCTTGAATGCTCTCTTCAGTGGATGTGCCCTTCTGCTCATTCAGTTTCTGCTTGTTCGGTCTGCTCCCTAGAGCCTACCCCACCCCCAGAATGTGGGTTTGGCTGTGCTGCTACAAAAAAGTTGTAATCTGGGCACATTTCTTAACCTCTCTGAGTCTCAGTCCTTTAGCTCCAGAATGAACCACCCACCTGGCAAGGCTGAGCAAAAGTCAAACAAGAAGTGCCCTATAAAGTGTCCAACGGAGGGCCTGGTTCCAAGTGCCCTGTGTACAAAAGCTATTAAACTCGACAAGGACATAGTGAAGAAGACAGAGGACAGCCTATTCGCTGCTTCCACCTGCTCCTCCGTAGCTACTATCTGGGCCTTCCTCACTGTAGCTCCGGGGCACTAAACACCCTCCATTTAAGGACCGTGACATCACATCAAACCCCTTCCCCAGCTTGCTTGGATCCTGGCTTCCTCCGCAGATGGAACCCTTGAGCCAGCATCTGGGAAAGAGACTCAAGTTGTATCGGGACCATCCAAGCGAGGAGCGGTAGCTCATGTTCCACCCTCTTGACCGCTGCAGTGACATCACAAATTATGAATTCAGTCTGACATAGTGGGTAATGTCAAAACCTAAGAAATGATTCTTACTCCATCATTAGCCAATCATCCATCAGGCTGGATAAACCAGCGCCAAGGCCAGATTCAGGGGCAGAAAGAATAAGGAAGAGCGCACCACGTAAGACTCCCTAAAACTGATGCCTTCCTAGTGCCACTCCTGCCAAGCTCAGCAGTGCCTTGTTCCCGAGGACAAACAGTGCATCCACCCACACCAGCTCTCCTGCCGTTGTCTGTTTCAGGACACACAGATGCCAGCCAACTCATGGTGTCTACCTGATACAACATGAAAACAGGCAGTCCTAACCAACTGTATAGCTCATTGCTTCCTAGCTCCTTTACACTTAAGAAATGTAGACACGTGCCATAAAGTAAAAAGTGCTGCAAATTCTAAGCTCCTTAAGGCAGGAACTCTGTCTTCCTCCTCTTCTGTAGTCCTCATGACCCCAGGAAACTGCCTTTGCACTTGACAGTTACAAGTTTGATTAATGAATGAATGCAAAAATGCCAAACGCATGCATATTCACACACACACTATAAAAACCCTTCTCCAAAGACTACAGCTCTAGGATTCTCAGTTATTAATTCTGTGAAGGGAACTAATGTTGTACAAGGCTCTCTTCAGGCTATGACTTGAATAAGGTACGGAAGGATCCTAGAGATTACTGAATTCCACTCCCTCCCTTTACAGACCAGAAACTGGTGCTGAGGTATTAAGAGAGGGAGTCTGGAAGTCCCTGGGACTAAGCACAAGAAAGGAAGATACACCCCCCTCCCCACTCCCAGCCCACAACCAGCCAGACACTGACAGCACTGAGACCAGAGTACCAGAGTCCTCCCATAGGCATTCTGGCAGCCTCTAGAGAGCATATTCCAAGTGTGTAAGACGTACCACATTTTCTTGTCCTCAGTATTCCCATAGTGCAAAGTCTTTGAAAGCGATAGCCAATTATATTTTTAGATATTTTCAAATAGGTATTCCCACTCAGCAAATGGGTGCATCATATCTCCAAACAGCCTCCAGTGAGAGTTCATTTTGTTACAGGAGAGACACCAGCTCACAAGGATTACATTACCTTTAACAAGCAGCCTGTCTCTCACAGACACTCTCCGAGTGGAGTCGGAGGCCGTGGCTGACGTCCGGGACCCTTTGAGACCGTCCTCCCGCTTCAGTTTGCTTGCCAGCGTCAGCATTACTGCTGCCTTTACCCTGAGACAGACCAAAGGCAGGGTTATGGACACGTCTCTAGACAATGACTGGAAATTGAAGACAAGGCCATAGGTGGTTAACTTTTTCCTATAATTAAGTCACAGAAAAATTCAGCAGATAAGGCGCATTCGTAAGACTGCATTCCTTTATAATTAATTTGGGAAATCTCCATGCCATCCTCTGTAAGTCTAATTTTTTAAAGTACACAAAAATTTTAAGAAGGGAGAGCCATGCATTTAACACTCATTGGGCACCAAGCCCTGGGACACCGTGGTGACAAAGCTCCCATGAGCTCGTGGTCTAGGGGAGTCTCCACCAACGGGTTCCATGTTGGCCCACCCCTGTGCTCTAGCTAAATGTGCCCCTCTCTGCTGCAGGGACCATGCACCTGTGTGTGTGGTGTGCCCTGTGCCTGGCCCACTGCAGACTGAAGGGAGCATCAGCCCTGGGAAGGAAGAAGCAAAGCAATGCTTTCTTTTTCTTCTTCCTCTAACCAAGGTATGGCTGGAACCTTAAGAAGCATCTTTGCATTTATTTATGTTGAGTCTTATTTACATTTTTTAGGCAGTATAAAGATCAGTATTAAGTCATAATTAATGCCCCAAACTAAATTCTCTTCAGTGGCTGCTTCGAACCCATCTATGCTTCAGGCATCCCCTAAAACTCACTGAAAGCTCACTGTGAAGGACAATAAAGGACAAAAAAAAACACAAAAACTGTTCACTAGCCCAATATTCCCATAATTTCCTTTGTTGCTTTCATATTATTTCCTTTCAATACCATTCTGATTGTTTTCAAAAGAAAAATGATCTAAAACTTCCAAATTAGAAACTTGACCCAAACACAAAACTTTCAGTTTGAGGCCAAAATAGTGAAAGCTAAAATAAGAATACGCTTCCCACACTGGTATTTTTAACAATTTTTCACCCAGGTTTTTTTTTTTTTTTCCACCCAGGTTTTTTACTTCTCATATCATCTTACTCTGTGTATCTTTCCCTCCTCCAAAGACTTTCAGATTTTATTTTCTATTATGTATGCCATAAAAAAGAAACCTACTGAATATGATCTTCTATATTGTATATGACCCACACACACACACACAACTAATCCCTTTTAGAATCATTGGTCTAAATGCTTCAAAAGATGGTTCTATTGCACATTAGCCTTCCAAGCTCCTAAAATTTCAAATCTGGGAAGGACTTCCCCCTTCAACCCCCAAGTCGCACTCTTTTTTTTTTTTTTTAAACTGATATAGATCCTGTGACAATGGGAGCCCGGGAACTGGCTGGGATGAGGCCACTCAGTTGCCAGAAGCAGTAACCACAGAAACATCAGTTTCTGTGAAACATCAGAAAAAAACATTTTCAAAATGTTTTCGCAAACATTTTGAGTGTGATGATGGTTTTAAGGGTATAGAGATACACATCAACTGATCTAACTGCATACTTTGAATATGTACAGTTTCATGTACTTCAATCATACCTCAACAACGTGGACACAAAAGTGAAAACAAACCAACATTAGTTTCTTCATTATCACTTGACCATGCCATCTCCCCAGATGAACATACACAGCGGCCTGGACCATAACCAACACACATCTCAGCTTTACCCAGGTCAGGGAGGTATTGGTTTGGTACCTTCACGAGGGGGTGGGGCTTGGGATGGGCACAAACAGCCATAGGGGCTCCAGCCTATACCTACCAGAAACAGAAGCACCATCCAGAGCCAGGTTCTTTTGCTCAGCCCCCACTTGGAATAATCTTGTCAGGAATCCCTTAAACAGACTGGGATCACAATAGGGAGTTTGTCACCCCAGCCAAGTCTACCACCACACACCCAGACTTGAGCACATCAGTCCTGCCACCTGGTTAGGGCTGCCTGAAGATGGACCAAGACAAGCATCCTTCACAAGGTCCAATTGGTTTTTATCCTCTAGCTGACCTTGGCAATACAAATATGGCAAAAAATAAAAAAGCCCAGCATGAATAAAAGAGAGTTCCGTAGGCAGAACTCTAGGAAAGTCCTAACAAAGAGCCCCATGGAGAAGCAAGTGCCAGGGCACATGCCTGGTCTCCACCCAGCTCCCTGAGGGCCTGCCCTGAAGGAACCACTTGGAGGGTCCAAGGCAAGACTTGTTTACAAAGGCTCACACCAAGACACTCTTCTGTGTCACTGCAGTCTGAGAACTCTGCCTTTTTTTTTTTTTTTTTTTTTTGGGGGGGGGGGGAGTGAGTGCACGCACAGGGGTGGCGGGGTGGGGTAGAGTGTTGAGAGGGAGAGACAATCCCAAGCAGACTCCCTGTTGAGTGAGGAGCCCAACTTGGGGCTGGATCCCAGACCCTGAGATAAAGACCTGAGCTGAAGCCACAGATCAGATGCTCAATTGACTGAGCCACCCAGGCTTCCCACTGCTTATTCTTTTCTACCCCTACTACTCCACACTGAAGCCTACTCTGTGGGCATAATATGCCTCATACTCAACTCCACTAAGAGCTGGATTCCTGGCTTGCAATCTTCAAGTTTGTGGCCCTTAATAAATAGATGGGGCACTGACTGAAAGGTATAAAAGACAAGGATACTCATGTGTTGTTGTCTATCAAAGAGAACACTAAAGCCACTCCCCCAGCATTCTAAGATCTAAGTGTATACTGACCACCTATTTGTCCACCATCTGTATTACTACTGCATGCCACTGCAGGGATAAACCTAGGGCCTAATTTGGAAATGTTTCCTTAGCTGTTAAATTAATTCTCTATAAAGAGATCTGAACAAAGAGATTTATTCAAACTGTCAAGAAGTTTGCCAAACACCTGCAGTTGCTTCAGGATTCTCCGAAGTGCAGTGCTTCATCCACAGAAGGCCCCAGAGCTGCCCCTTGACTGTGGAGTACACAGTGTTAGGGCAGCATTTCTGCTGACAAGATGAGCTGCACAGAACAGCATGCTCAGTTTCTTTATCCCGCAAGTCCCAGTCGGCAGGTTTAGTCCATTTAGTTCCTCCTCTGGGTGAGACTTGCTCTCGGGCTGTTCAAAGATTCCTGCATGCAATTTACTGGTCTCATCATCAAGTCATATTTACTTGGCATTCCTGCCTGTAGTGGCAACATCGGGCCAGGTCACCTGTGCAGGGAGGGATACCAGGAGCCAGTCAGCTCCTGAGTGAGGAACTCCAAATTTGCAAATCTTCCTGATGCGGAAAAGTCCCAATCTTAAAGAGTAAGAGATGGGTCACTAGGGGACAACCAACTTCTCTAGCCAAAGAGGCCCTCATCAGGACACAAAAATGTCCACACTGTACCCTCCTCCTTCAGAATGCCAAGGCCCAGAAACCTCCCACCTGGCAGGAGAGTCACCTTGGTTGGCAGACCGACCTTTGGAGCCCAACCCTTTATTTTCATCAGTAAACATGCCCCCTCCTGCACTACCTACTACCTGAAGTGCAGGCAAATCTGGGCGGAGGTCCTCAAGCCACACACCAGCCAGCCCAGTGATGATTTGTCTCTGAAGGTCTCTCCCACCCTTCTGACCCCCACCACCCACCCTCATCCCCATACCCAGCCAGAAATCCTTTGCAAGCCGCCTTCCTCCCTGCTCCTCAACATCAGCTTTCCCATTTCTGGAATCTTCTGTTTAATCTGATGATATCCAGGTCTGGAGTGCCCTCCTTCCCTTCACCGCGTACTCCTATTCCTTCCTCAGGACACCAGATTCCTATCCAGGGTCCAGTATCTCCTCCAAGAAACCTTCTCGGGCCACTCCAATCCATCCTGCGTCCACTCCAGGGCCTGAGGCACTGCAGACAGGGGAGGGCCCGTCCCCTCATGTGACAAATGAGGAAACTGAGCCCTGGAAGGGCAGGGCCACACCCAAGATTACACACCAGCGGAACCGGGTCTAGAATCCAAGACCTGTTGTTCAGATCATTCCAAGATACCCTCCCCCCCCCCGCTCCCCGTGCGGGTAAAATCCTCCGAAGGAACTGAGGCCGCCCCCAGCCGCCGGGCAGCTCCCGGCGGGTTGGCGAGCCGGGAGTCCCCCTCCTCACCCCCGCCGCTCTCCGGGCCTAGCCGGACTCCCGAGGCGGAGGAGTCGGACGGCCCGCGTCCGAGTCCCGCTGCCCCCGCCTCGGCGGGCTGGTGACCTTGGGCTCCGTTTCCTTCTGGACAATGCGGCCCGCGGCTCCCCCGCGACGGCGGGCGCGAGCGAGGCCGTGTAGGCGCCGGCACAAGCAGGCGCTGGCTGCGGGCTGCCCCTCGAGCCCGGCGGCGGCCGGCGCCCCGGCCCTTTCCCAGTCAGGCAGTCCGGCCCCGCGCCGCCGGCGCCTGGCCGTGAGAAGCGCGCGGCCTGAGGCGGCCCCGGCGCCGCCCGCCCTCCGGCCCGCCCGCGGTACCGGCGCCGCCCGGAGGCCCGCGGCCGCCCCTCTCCCGCCGTGGGGCCGCGCGCTGCTCACCTGGACACCCCGAGACAGGCGAGGCGGGCCCGGCACCCAACACCATGCCCGGCCGGCCGGCGGCGGCGACACACAGCCCCTCACAGCCGCACCGGCTCCGGGCGGCGGGACCGGAAGTAGCGGGGCGGGGACTCGGCGGCTCTCGCCCGCGGCGGCCGCGATGGCAGCGGGCGCTTTAAAAAAAAAATTCAAAGCCCGGACGAACTTTATTTGGAGCCTGACACGCGAACAGCGGCGTGCGCCGGCCGGGGCTGGGCCCGGCAGCTGGCCTCCCGGGCCTCGCTCATTGGCAGAAGGCGCGGTCGGGGGGGGCGGGCGTGAAACTCGCCGCCCCTGCTGATTGGCGAGTAGCGACCGGGGGCGGGGCCCTCCCCTCAGTTCTGGAGTCTGCGCACCCCGGTGCCCGGGGCTCCGAGCAGTGTTCTTACCTCCATTCATTTCGTGGTGTGTGGCGCCTGGACCTGCGCCTCAGAGGTGGTGGGCGCAGCCTGCGATGCAGGAGCGGCTGGACCTGAGCTGCCCGCCTCGGTGGATGGGGTGCCCGCTCTGTGCGCGGCACAGTGCCCTGGGGGCGGAGGACCAGGCGTCAGGGGTGAGGGGCGGGGCGGTCAGGTGTGCAACAGCCACCCATCAACCCCGAGGTGTGCTTTGGGGCCGCCTTGCAGGAGTGCCTGGACCCTTTCCTGATCTTGTCTTTCTCCTCCTACACGTGTGTAAAATACCTGCTTTATCTATTTCTAGCTTGTTGAATACAAATTCTCATGTCCAATTGTACCCCCTGTGATTGAAATAGGCGCTGGGGTGGAGGAGTCAGACAAGAGGGCTCCTGAAGGAATGGGTCGTCTAAAAGATGAGGTTCACCACGTGGACCGGGAAGAAAGAGCCAAGGAGTTAGAATTTTATTTCCAGAAGCCCCATTGAATGGTTTTAAACAGTGGAGTGACTAAGTTTTCTTTCTAAAAGAAGCTTCTGGCTCTCATTGAGCTCGTGGGAGGTGAGCCAGGCAAGGAGTCAGGAAGACCAGTGAAGAACCAACCCATGGTATTCCTTCTGTTCTGGAACACTTCCCGCCTTCTTTGCCTGGCTAACGTTTGTTTTCCTAAACTTAGACACTGCTTGCTCAGAGAGGCCCCACAGTCTGGGAGGTGCAGGTGTCCCTCAATGACTTCATGGGAGTTCTGTGCTTCCCCTTCTTGGTGCTGGAGACTTCCTGTCACTGCCTATTTCCCCAAGTTCAGCTCCTCGATCTCTCCTCTGCCATGTTCCCCATCCTTCTATGTGCCCTCCCCCATCCTGTCACACAGCATGTGGTCAAAATCCATCTGCTTGATAAGTACTGCATGCATATGTTGCTGGAGTCCTGGTGAAAGAGGATAAGACCGTGCAGCCAGGCAGCAGGTGAAGGGACCATTAGAATGACTTGAAGGATTGCCTCACTCACTAAGGGGCCACTCTGTGTAGGACAGGCTGCAGTGCCCAGTGCTCCAAATCTCACTACTGTGGGTAAATGCAGCCATTTCTAGCTCCACTTCTCGAGGCTGCCTTGCGCCTTCACCTGATGTTTATTTCAGGCTCCCTACATTGTAAACTCACAGTCACATCCTGAAACTGGTATTTTGTTACAGTAGTTCCCCCCACCCCTTATCTGTGGTTTTGCTTTCCAAGGTTTTAGTTACCCTCAGTTCTAACTGCAGTCTGGAAGCAGTTCCTTCTTCAGATGTAGTGTTAGATGATCAATAGTAGCCTAATGCTATGTCATAATGCCTAGGTCACTCCCCTCACTTCATCTCATTGTGAGAATTGGAAGGGTGAGTACACTACAGTAAGATATATTGAGGGGTGCCTGGGTGACTCAGTTGGTTAAGCAGCTGCCTTCAGCTCAGGTCATGATCTCAAGATTCTGGGAACAAGCTCCGTGTTGGGCTCCCTGCTCAGTGAGGTGTCTGCTTCTCCCTCTGCCCCTCCCCCAGCTCATGCTCCTCCCCCCACCCTTGCTCAGGCTCTCTCTCTCTCAAATAAATAAATAAAATCTTTTAAAAAAAGATATTTTGAGTGTGACCACATTCACATAACTTTTATTATTGTTACAATTGTTCAGTGTTGTTATTGGTCGTTAATCCCTTACTGTTCCTAACTTATGAATTAAATTTTATCATCAGTATGTATGTATAGGTAAAACAGTCTCTGCAGGGGTTGGTAGAATCCATGGTCTCAGGAGGGTCTTGGAATAAATCCTCTGCGGATAAGGGGGGACTACATATCCCCACTTCATAAACACAGAAACCGAGGCACAGATGTAGGCTGCCTGACATGCCAGAGCTGGGGTTTACCCTCAGCTAATGCCCCATACCCCTTAGCAACTGGTGGTCCCAGTAGCCAGGAAAGGAGTCGAGTAGACCTTCATGCTTCCTTCGGAAGCAATTTGTCCTCATCCAGGGCCTCTTCAGAAATGGAACTTGCACTAGCTTAAGCACAAAAGACTGAGAAGGCTGGCGTGCTCACAGAAGCCAGGGAGGTCAGCTCTGGGGACCTGGGGGGCAGCAGGAGAGCTTATTGTGAGCAGACCTCTTGTTCTTAGTGGTTCCATCTCAGTCTTGGCCTCTGGAGGCTGGCCATGTCCTCCCAGAGGCCTCCTTGGAGCTGGGGTCTGGCTTCAGACACATCATTACAATCCAGGCGGTCAAGGGAGCTACCCCCTTCCTCCCAATCTCACATTCTCTGGGAGGGTAGGCTGGGCTTGGATCCCACACCCACTGCATGTGCACATGGGAGAAGGGGAGAGGGTCAGTTGTGAGCCTCCCAGAAGGGTACAGGTGCCAGAGGAAGCGCAGGCAGACAATTCACCAGATGTCCTTCTCACTTACCCTGAGAAGTTCAACCAGGACTTCCAGCCAGAGCATGGAAGGGGAGATGGCCTCTGTCAGTTTTCAGCTAGGCTTGCCTCTGGACACACAGGCTGCATAGTGATCCCAGAAGCTGTCTTGGCTTGGCCTGGGGATCACTAACCTGGACGACATGGTGTTGGCAAGCCAGGGATCTGGGAACTCTTCAGCCCAGGGCAGCAGATCAGCTGATTAACAACATCTGTAGCAAGGGTGTGGTTGCCTGGTGTGAGGCCTGCTAGGTCGGAAAAGTGACCTCTGCTGGTATGCCCGGGAGGGGCAGCCTTCCTTAGCCACCCATTCTGTTTCCCTCTTGCACTCACTGTGGATCAAGCAGAGCCCTCCTGCATCAGTGGTACCCCACTGGGGCAGACATTCCTGGCTCTGTGTTTCAGTGAGAGGTAAAGCCCATAGCCTGCGTGAGTTGACATGAGAGCTAGGCCCACAGGTCCAGTGTTTTTGCTCTCCTGCCCTGCCCTGTCCTATGGACTCCAAGCTTTCCCAGGGCAAGACCTTCCTAATGTGTCAAAGCCAGCCCCTTGCATGGATTGGGAAATAGCCCCGGAGGCACGTGATACCGGATAGATGTGGGTGGAAGGGTCCAGTTCAGCCCTTAGCTAGTACTCACCTGTTCCAACCTGTTCTGTGTTGTTCTAGGTTACTCCAGGGTGTGCGTCCTGTCCCCAGCTAGGCTTGGTTCTCCCTGGGAGCAAATCCTAGGGCACTGGAGAGCGGGCCTTGACATACACAGGGCCCCTTGTTCCTATGCGTCTTCTGAAATCTATGCCAACAAGTCAAGAACTGTATCAAGAGCATCTACCAAGTGTGAGAGCCTGAAAAGGACAGTGTATAGACTGTAGACCCCGGCCTCCAAAAACATGAGCTCCCCAGGGAACTAGTAGTAGGTAAATCCCACAGATGGGAGTGGGGAAGTTCAGAACGGATTCCTGAGGTTTGCTGTGCAGGGGAGAGTCCTGTCTGTCTCACTGGAGTTTAGAGATTGTTGGGGGAAGATGGGGAGGACAGCTAGGCTGACCACAGCCCTTGCCTTAGAATCCAACTGCAGAGGCCGACAACAAATGTGCACAACCCCAGGCCTTGTTGGTGCCTTCTGATGCCTAAAGTGGAGACAGGTTCCTTGTTTCTAGGAAAAGCTTTACTAGGGCTTTCAGGAAGAAAGAGCCCTGGGTCTGATCTGGAGAGGAGAGGATGAGGCACCGATGAGAGCAGACTGAGCGGCTAGAAGTGGTTATGGGGACCTGGGCAAGTTGTCTTAACCAAGACCCTCAGCGGCCCTGCTGACCCAGTTCTGACATCCACTGTGGCATGGGGAGGGTGCAGGCTCCAGGGCCTTGGGCCAGGTGGGATCTATGATGATGATGATGGTGCTGGTGATGGTGATGATGGTCATGTCAGGGGCTATCCAGACAGCAGACAATTCAATTCTAAGTACTGTGACTTTAATTACATATCCAGTATAATTAACTTGTGACTGCTCTTATAACTAGCCCCCAGGGAAAACATAAGTTTCCCTTTATTCATTCCTTTGAAAGATAATAAAACAGACTGTGACAGCGATCCTGGAAAAGGATTGAAACACAGTGGTGTTTTATATATTATAGGACTGAGACTTCCTTCATTCCTCCTAAAACAACACTGGGCACATTTTAGCAGGAGTTGTGCATTGTGCCTGGAATGCAGACATTTGTAACCGACCCCCTGGTCCATCCCCCTCCACCCCTTCCTGCAGGCTGCACTTCCCCCTCCAGGCTGCCCATCAGATCAGGCCCCAAAGCTGGCAAAGCTCTGAGGGAAGCTGACTTCCTCCAGAGCCTTTTGCTTTTCCTTTCTTGCAGGAATGTATTGAAATGGCTGCCCGCCCTTGTCACACTCTGTCCTGTTTTGCATTTCATATTCTTTTGTATTAGTCACTGACCAAGGTCGATTCATATTTTCAGTTGTGTCTAGGCTGCTGATGCAGAGTGCTGTAAGGCTTAGCTCCCGTAGAGGACTTCAGTAGTAGGAATGTATGCCCATGCGCATGCATGCGTGTGGCGGGCGTGTGCTTGTGTTCGGTACATAATAGACTTGTCCTCATTTCTGGAACCTATGAATTTGTTACTTTACATGGTGCAGAATGGACTCTGCAGATGGGATCAAGGTGGGTGCCATGACCTCAGGGCTCATTGGACAAATCCACGTGGATTCAGAATCCCAAACCCACT